TGCAACCAGTAGATCATGGGTTCAATGTAGGCAGACATGTTTCAGTCCATACCTTTGTACTGGCTTTCCGTTTGAAAGCCAGGGAACTTTTCAGTGAACTACGAGAGAGGCAGTTCAGCGCCCCCACAGCCCATTTAAACTGCAGGGCCATCTGTCACTGTGGCAGACAGTACTTGTAGTTTATTTGTTCACAAACGTCTGTGCATGAATGACGAGGCTGTGTAGGCAGAGCCCCGTAAAGCTGCACTGTTTTTAGAAATTGACGGCAGGTGCGAGGAGAAAGACCCCCTCTTGCTGTCACAGGGAGGAGGGGAGAAGAGGCAGGAGCTGGAACATGTTACATGTTCCACCCTAAATACAAGTGGGACCTTTTACATGTTCCAAAGGTGAACTTATCATTTAATGCTTTACAACTACTGTAGTAACTCCAATGTTCCAATGTCATACACTGCTTTCATAACTGCCATATACTATATCCTGCTGGTTTAAAGTACTCCATAAACCCTACCCCTCTATGCCACATGCAGGGTTTTGCTTCTGTGTATTTTATCCACACGTACTACATACATCATAGCTCTATATGTTAACATTTTGTGTTTCTATATACTTCAACATAGAGAACAGATGATACACCAGTCATACAGTACTGATGTCAAGGCCTTAAAGCTCACATTCAACTTCAACCAGCACTTCAGTTCTAAAATTTTGTTGGTTCTGCAACCAAGAATATCCTTTACATTCCTTAGTAAAACACAATGTAAAAAAAAAATTATAATTATGTGCCTTCACTGTCCTATTCCATTATGCAAGTATGACCCTTTTCTTCAGACTGAGCATGGTAGTCAGGCCCTCTAAAAAGTAAGGAAATCTGCACAAAATAACAGCTTTCTAAAAAAAGATGACATTGCCAGAAATTGATCAAAATAATCATACACAGTGAAAAGTTCATGACTACGGAATGAGTAATAGACGAACATAAGATTCCATTGGAACTTTTGGTCTGTCCAAACAAATAACACTATCAAATTTTAAACAGAGCAATTACAAATATATAATGTATTATTTCTTTCCCAGAGTCTCATTTCTATATGTACTGTATGTCAGTGGTAGTTTGCCAAGTCTGAGTGGTAGCTTACCAAGTTTGTGAAGGATGAGAAGTTCCCCTAGGATCTCTCCTATAGTGTTCCAAACACTACAAGGAATAAATGTTGGAAAGACAGAACATAAGATAGCCGCCTTCGCGGATGATTTATTATTCTATGTTGGAAACCCGAGGATAACACTTCCTAACCTAATGAAAACATTGAAGGAATATGGGGAAATGTCAAATCTAAAAATTAACCCGAGCAAAACAGAGATATTAAATATAAATCTTCCAAAGAGTGAAAAAGAAAATATACAGAGAGAATTTCCCTTTATATGGAAAGATAGAGAAATAAAGTACCTGGGAGTAAAACTCACTCCCTCACAGAAAAATCTTTATAAAGCTAATTATATCCCAATGTTAAACGAAATCAGAGAGGAATTGAGGAAAATGGGTAGTGGAAATCCTTCCTGGCCGGGTCGTATTAACCTGATAAAAATGGTAATTCTCCCGAAAATACTGTATAAATTTCAGATGATTCCCATTAATCTTCCAGAGGTGTATTTTAGGACAATTAAGCGAATGGTAACTAAATATATATGGAAAAAAATAAAAAACCTAGGATATCATATGAAGTGCTAAGCAGAAATAAACAAAAGGGGGGGTTGGGAGTACCAGACTTTAAAAGATACCACAGGGCAGTCATTTTAGCAAGAATTTTTGACTGGATATATAATTCAAAGAGTAAACATTGGGTCACAATTGAAAATACACTTAGTAGAAAGGAGTTGGGTAGGAGTGTATGGGTGCCACCACAGTTTAGAGAATTAGAGGAGAACACGAGTATATACACGAGAATTGTAATAAGGGAGTGGGATAAGATGCACAAACAGAGGAAATGGGAATATATTTCACTATTAATGTCACTAAGAAATTCAGAGTTTTCCCCCCCCAGGTAAAGAGGAAATTTCAGGTAGATGGATTATGAAGGAAGACGCTCAGTTGAGAGATGTAATGGAGGGGGTAAACTTAAGAACACTGGAGGATTTGAAAAGGGAAGAGGGAAGAATTTTCACTAGGATAGATATATGGAGATATAATCAACTGAAACAATTTGTGGAGAAATTGACGAAGCCCCTTAGAACTAGGAAAGAGTGGAATGAATTTGAGAAATACTTAGAAGACCGAGGTGATGGGAAACACAGCACTGCTAAAGTATATAAAGCTCTCACGGATTTAGATAGTAAGTTTAAATTAAAATACATAGAAAAATGGGAAAAGGATTTAGGAGTGGAGTGGGAAGAGCACACACAGAGGAAAATATATAGAATGGTACACGAAAATATTAGTATGCGTGAGGTGGAAATGAATTTTAAATGTTTGACAAGGTGGTATTTTACACCGGTGATAGAACACAAGTTGAGTGAGGAGAACCAACCCTGGTGTTGGCGAGGGTGTGGAGGGCTGGGGCACGATATATCACATATGGTGGGAATGTTCAAAAATACAAGTATATTGGGAAAAAAATTAGAAATCAAATCACGATTATCACTGGAATAGAGATAGGACTGGACCCTGAAACCTGTCTTTTTCATAACTCAATATTACCTGGAAATAAATATAAAGAACTGGGTATAATGTGCTACTTAAATGCAGCAAAAAGTCTGATTCCTAGGTTTTGGCGTAAGGTTGAGGTACCGAGGGAAGAGGATTGGATGAATAGAGTGGACCAGATTGCTAGAATGGAAAAACTTTATTATATGCAGGAAGATAGGATGGTGACATATCATATGAAATGGGGGAAATGGGAGGAGTTCAAAGTAAAGGTAAAGGAAGGTACTGAGTGAGTAAGTAAACATAAAGAAAAGGAAATAGAGGATAAGAAGAAAGGAAGAGAAAAGAGGAAAGGCCAAGGAAAAGGAGAAAATATAGCAATTAGCCTGTCTTTCTTTCTTCTTCTTTTCCAAGCCTCGGTATCCAGAGGATGTGAGATACAAGTCGATCAGATAGATGTCAGGGGTAGATTGAAGTGGGGTGGGAGGTGGGAGGGTGGAAAGGAAGGGGATTAGGGGGAGAAAATGATATGAAATTAGTGTTTTATGAGATTTTGTAATGTTATATTTTTACATTATGGAAATGTGTATTGTTTTATTTGAAAAATAAATAAATATTTAAATTAAAAAAAAAACAAACACTACAAGGAAAGATTATGAGAAAGTAGCTCACTTTTTAATGTAAGGTTTTATCGAGTCCAGTCATAGAGTTGTATATCACAAAGAAAATTTATCAGAAGCCATCAGAGTCCCTGATTCCATACAAACACAGCAGAGTTGGAAACAGGACTAGAAAAATTGTCAAAGGCAGTTAGACTGGCAACAACTAGCAGTATATCAAGATAAGTAAACATAAGGCGAGAAAGCAAGCTCTTTGTTGGTATGCTATGTAATAGAATAACACAGTCTAAATATAGTCCTTCCAATATATCAAAACCAACAAGCGTATTCCAGCAAATGCTGCTGTCCAGTGATTACAACAAATATTCAGTCCACCAAATTCTTCTGATTGCTACCATTTCCTATAAATGAAATTATATTAGTCTCTTAAATATCCCTAAAAGTAAACCTGTGGGACATAAATATGAAACAGCATGCACTTTTAGGTCTCTGTAATTCAACCAGCAATCAGCTTCCATGGTCACTGGCTGTGACCTGACTCCCGTCTTCCACCCTCTGCCCTACTATTGGCCCAGTGCTGGACAAACTCACTAGTAGTAAGATGGAAGACGCAGAGGGAAGTATGCCTTTGCTTCTGTCCTGAAATACAAACTGCAGTCAGGATAAAAGTCAGCAGTAACATTTCCTAAGCATATGTGCTTCATTTTTTAATGTTTGATCAGGAAAAGCAAATGTAACCACATTAAACACTGCAAATACATGTACAGCAGTTGAAAGCAAGTTCCTTTAAGAGAAGGTAGACCATACTAGGTCAAGCTACATCATGTGTAAAAGATAGCCTTTTGGCTGGGACACACAGAAAAAGTTGCCTTTTTTTAATGGTACATCCAAGAAGAAAAACAAATAGCAAAAGCAGGGAAATGCATTCACTTTAAATATGCATCCCTGGTTTGTGTGTTTTATCCAACAATATTTTCAAATTTGGAAGTAAAACAAACAAAATATTTTATGCAAGACAAGCTTTCACTTCAATGACTAGTTTGGAAGCAACATGCTTCACCTCTTGGGTGACAGAGATATCAGTGCTGCTCCACTCATCATACATCAAAGCAATTATTATAGCCAGGGATAAGTAAATTACCGCTGCATTCTCCCACCTATCATTGTATCTGTGGCTGTTTTGCCATCCTTTATGGAACTTCAACTGAATCTCAGCTCAGGATACAGTAAATAAACTCATTATTTTGTATCTGTCTGTTGACACATTGAATAAATTAGTGTCTCTATCTACTGTTGGGTACCAGGATGAAAGGGTGAGAGTGATGATCTATCAGGTGGTATAATTTGTAATAAGCTCTGATGACATTTAATAAAACATGACTGAAAAATAAATCAATTTTTGTGACATTTGAATGCCTTGCCTTTTTCAGTACATTTTAGTTTTTGGACCACTGTTAATACATAAAAGCCTGAGGAAATCATTGCAGGAAAATTGTTTTCGTTTGAAAGACATAAAAAATTCATAAATTTTCACATTTCATTTAAATAGTTACGTAAGATTTCTTCTACAAATTGCAAATGATTATCATCTAAGTTACATGATAAAAAAAGAGTGAAATTTGTCAGTATTTACTGTTTAGAAGGTCAACACCACTAGCAGGCAACTAGCATTTTCAGATGAAGTGATCATCATTGGCAGCCATTATAAGACTAAAGACATTTATAAGTGTTACTAAACCCAGGACCCTGCATTCACTATATCTGGTTTCGCACAGTACACAGAACATGGAAGTGCAATTATTTTAGTAAATATAAACTGCTAAATGCTTTTTCTAATCAGCAGTATATTGCAGTCTTGTGACTTCTATCAGCGTCCGGCTGAGTACTGGTTATTCTTGTATGAGGAGTTTTCATTCTCCCCTGACTGTCCTATGAGGCTGCATGACCACTGACCCTCTGTCCAGACAGCACTGATTGGCCCTGTGTTAATCACACGCACTCCCAACCATAACAAAAAAAATCTCTAGCAATACACACTAAACAGAGCATGTGCAGACTTGCCACTGCTGCTCTGTACTATGGCAGATGGAATGGGGACAGTAAAATAAGGGGGGGGGTCAGAGAAGACAGGATCAAACAGCCTTTTTACAAAATGTGGAGGATTAACCCCATAGGTTCCACAGTGAGTATAACAAGCATGCTTTACTGCAATATACAGACTGATTTTACTTTTGTGGACTTAGCAACACTATAATGTCAGATAGTACACATTTTTTTTAAACAAAAAAAAAATCATCTATGACCAATGTTTTTTTAAATATGTTGGCAGTAGAAATGGGTTATGTTAACCCTTTCCTGCTGTGGAGAAATGTGTCTCTACTGGGCTCAAATCAAGAACAGAAGACAAAAGTGTACCAGCATAGTGTGCAGTTTATTTTAATATAAAGGTTTTGTAAGTAAAAATGCATTCATTTTTATTGTATCATACTCTAGAACTCTTTTACACACTTAATCCAATGATTCCTTTCACTCCTGATGATGTCACTTATGATGAAATGTGTTGGTCGGAGAATAACTCACTGATGTCATCTCATCTGTTGTGGAAGGATGGGAGGGTGAGGAGATGATAGTTGTGCCTGCATCACCTATGTAAAGCGCTGAGTGACTTCAGTTTGTATAGAGGTCTACTCTGTCTAGTAAGAGTTTACATTTGTCATGGTGGTGGGGTTGATGTCATGGGAGGAGATCCTAATTGAAATTGGTGGAGGAGTGTTTTCTATATCAGAAAATGCACTTGCTTCAGGGGATGTTTGGACTGGATTATTTTAATTATTAAACTGTATATAAAAAGCTATGCATATTATGTAATGGTGCTTGTATGGTCATTTTTATGACATGCATGAGTTTTTACACAGAAAGGATTTATATAAGTTCTGTGGGGTCAATTGACTAAAGGATGTTGCATGCGATATGAAGTTCACGTGACCCATTTTTTTCAGAAAAAGACAATAAAAGAGTCAATTCATCAAAGTAAAGCATCGAATGTCAGGTAAAGAAAAAAAAAAAAAAGGTAAGTCATTAAAGTCAGTTCACACTTTTGTTATTTATCACCTGCCAGTTGGCAGTCAGTATTTTTTGCACTGTACAAAATTACAATGAACTCTGCACTGGCCAGTAAGTTAAAAGCATACAATGTATCAGTGTGGGAATGTTCTGCCTGAGCTCAGCAATGAAAATAAATGTGACATTTCACCAGAGGGTGATCCTTCTGTGAAGGAAAGCACATTAGAATGTTTTCACAGTTTCATAGTATTTATGTATGCATTTATTTACAGAACTATCTTCCTCTGCTGCAGTGTTAGCATGTAAAAAAAAAAAAAAAAAATGAATGGTGAAAAAACTACACCAAAAATAATGCAAAATATAAGTGATAAATATCACAAAACATAAATATTTACCGCATTGGGTGAATAACACTTTGTTTTAGTGAATTGACTGCTTTTGAGGTAAATACCACATTAGTTATTTTAATTACAAAATGAAAGCGGTATTTATCTCTTAGTGAACTGACCCCAATGTACTGTATCTTATATCAGGGTATTTGACGCAAGCTGCTTCCTGCTTTATCTTCATCTTTTTTTGTACTAAGCAAAGAATTTTGTGTGGTTTTTTGGTTTTTAAATGCTTAAATTTACCTACAGTGGGTATAAAAAAGTCTACACATCCTGTTAAAATGTCAGGTTTCTGTGATGTAAAAAAAGTGACAAAGATAAATCATTTCAGAGCTCTTTCCATCTGTAATGTAACCTATAAACTGTACAACTCAGTTAAACAACAAACTGAATTTTTTTAGGTGGAGGGAAGTAAAAATAAAAAAACTAAAAAATTATGGTTGCATAAGTGTGCACACCCTTAAACATACTTTGTTGAAGCAGCTTTTGATTTTATTACAGCACTCAGTCTTTTCGGGTATGAGTCTATCAGCATGGCACATCTTGACTTGGTAATATTTGCCCACTCTTCCTTGCAAAAACACTCCAAATCTGTCAGATTGTGAGGGCATGTCCTGTGCACAGCCCTCTTTAGATCACCCCACAGATTGGATTCAGGTCTGGGCTCTGGCTGGGCTATTCCAAAACTTTAATCTTCTTCTGGTGAAGCCATTCCTTTGTTGATTTGGATTTATGTTTTGGGTCGTTGTCCTGCAGAAAGGTGAAGTTCCTTTTCATGTTCAGCTTTCTAGCAGAAGCCTGAAGGTTTTGTGCCAATATTGACTGGTATTTGGAACTGTTCATAATTCCCTCTACCTTGACTAAGGCCCCAGTTCCAGCTGAAGTAAAACAGCCCCAAAGCATGATGCTGCCACCACCATGCTTCACTGTGGGTATGGTGTTCTTTTGGTGATGTGTAGTGTTGTTTTTTGGGCAAAACATATCTTTTGGAATTATGGCCAAAACATTCAACCTTGGTTTCAGACCATAACACTTTTTCCCACATGCTTTTGGGAGACTTCATATGTGTTTTAGCAAAATTTATCTGGGCTTGGATGTTTTTCTTCGTAAGAAAAGGCTTCCATCTTGCCACTTTACCCTATAGCCCAGACATATGCAGAATATGGGAGATTGTTGTCACATGTCCAAACAGCCAGTACTTGCCAGATATTCCTGCAGCTCATTTAATGTTGCTGTAGGCCTCTTGGCAGCCTCCCAGACTAGTTTTGTGTTGTCTTTTCATTAATTTTGGAGGGGCATCCAGTTCTTGGTAATGTCACTGTTGCACCATATTTTCTCCACTTCATGATGACTGTCTTCACTGTGTTCTATGGTATATCTAATGCCTTGGAAATTATTTTGTACCCTTCTCCTGACTGATACCTTTTATCAATGACATCCCTCTGATGCTTTGGAAGTTGTCTGTGGACCATGGCTTTTGCTATAGGATGTAACTAAACAAATATCAGGAAAGATGTACTAGAACAGCTTAACTTTATTTGGGGTTAATCAGAGGCATTTTAAATGATGGCAGGTGTGTGCTGACTCCTATTTAACATGATTTTGAACGTGATTGATCTGAAACAGCTACATCCCCAGTCATAAGGGGTGTGCACACTTATGCAACCACATTATTTTAGTTTTTTATGTTTACTCCCCCCCCCTTAGAAGATTTCAGTTGCTTTTTTAATTGAGTTGTACAGTTTATAGGTCACATTAAAGGTGGAAAAAGTTCTGAAATTATTTATCTTTGTCTCATTTTTTAACAGGGGTATAGACTTTTTATATCCACTGTAAGATCTGTACATTAGGGTCCCTCAATCCTAAGATTTCAGATTTATAAAGGCAAGATCATAAATGTAAGCCAGTCGGGCTCACATGCAGTACAAAGTGCTGTCTAACAATGGGAGCTTAACTTGGTCACCTGCCCAACTTTTTCCTGTGCTCTCTTCCAGGGGCGGACTGACCATTTGGAAACCATTTGGAGGGCCGGGGTCAGTAGGGGGCCCTATAAGATGCCCCTGGTACCTTTTTCATAGGCTTTTTTGAGTTTGGGCAAGGACACAGGGGCCCCATGATCCCCTATTGCCTGAGGGCCCTATGAGTTGTCAGTCCGCCCCTGCTCTCTTCTCCTGTAGCTGTTTTGCTCATTTGCAAAAGTGAGAACAACCCCTGGCTCTATGTAGAGTGAAATTTGAACATACTATAAATATTTCACCTGTGCATTTAGCTGAGTTGAGTTTTACATTTTAGCTAAACATTACAGAAATCCTTTCATGCTCCCTAAATTTCTCTGCACACAAGATGAATGTGCAGCCTTAGTTGTTAAATACATGTATATCATCTCTCTAATGGTATGACTTTTGTTAAGATATGAAAGATATGGAAGAAGTATTAATTCTAAAACTCAACAAAATTCTGATTGCTATCTGCCAACGATCATTAGCTGGGAAATTAATGGAACTATGCTTTGGAACTTGGAGAAGAAAAAAAAAGTTTGTGAAGAAAAAAATGTTATACGCATATTTTAAAATCAGATCTCTCTAATTACTGTCAAGCAGAGTCTCTGGAAAATCAAACATTTGTGTAATACTTGTTCATTCTTAATTGGGTCTTCCTCGGTCATGGCTATAAAATGTGCCTGTTCAGCCTTTTTTACCAAGCTATCTGTCATTACAGTGAAGACAGTTTAGCACTATGCTCTCTAGTTTATGTACTACAGACCCATCACTGTTGACCTTTTAACATTCTGTATCACAGCTGCACCCTCAGTCTTCACTTCCACCTATGGGCACTGCATAACAATTTATAAGACCAGTTCATTTCTGCAGCAAGATCATAACTGCTGTTCTCACATGTGAATACAAAGCAAAATATCTTAAAGTGTTACTAAACCCAAGACCCTGCACTCACTATATCTGGTCTCCCACAGTACACAGAACATGGAAATGCAATTATTTTAGTAAATATAAACTGCCAACTAGCTTTTCTCATCAGCAGTTTATAGCAGTCTTGTGACTTCTATCAGTATCCAGCAGAGCACTAGTTAAAGCTTTTAGGATGAGTTTTCATTCTCCTCTGACTGTCCTATGAGGCTGAATAACCCCTGACCCTCTGTCTGAACAGCGCTGATTGGCCCTGTGCTGATCACATGCACTCTACCAAAGAAGAAAAAAACCTCTCTAGCTATACACCCTAAACCAAGCATGTGCAGAGTGACTCCTATGACTCTGTACTATCAGGAGATGGATTGGGGGTCTGTGGAAGAAGGGGAGGACCAGAGAAGACAGGATCAAGCCTTTTTACACAATGCAGAGGATTAACCCCTTAGGTTCCACAGTGAGTATAACAAGCATGCTTTACTGCATATACAGACTGATTTTACTATTGTGGGTTTAGTAACACTTTAATTAAAGCAGACCTATCAACAG